ATATTATGGTAAAGTGTGATAATAATGGCAATATGTGTTGTTTCTATTGAATTAAAATATCAAAAAATGCCGGATAAGTCGTACTGATTCAATACCAAATTCTACACCTTTTTTAATGTGTTGAATATAAATTTAATTACAAAAAGTGTTTATATACTGGACTTACTGCTAATCTAACTGGTAGTGATGGGATCACTCGAGGGAAATTCCGCTCGAGTGCTCGATTAATGAAATAACCGATCGCTCGATTATGAACGAGCGAAGCAAGTGACGAGTACCAAGCGACGAAAGCAAGCGATTCGAGAATGAAATAAATTGAAATCCGATTTTAATGTGACATACTCGATAAAAAGCCGAGCGAATTTTCTACATACATTGCAGGTAGCAAAATTATACGACGCCGTATATATATTTATCCGTTGCGTATCTGAGAGACAAAATTTTACGACCTACATCGACATTGTTTTGAAATAAACTAAATCAAGCGATCAAGCGAATCGCTCGACGCTTGCTACTTGCCATTCATCACCAAAAGAATATGTGCCCTGCGCACGCAACTTACTGCTTGGCGCTTGGTGTTAACGAGTACTTACAAGCGGCGGATAAAATACCGTATTTCTAAATACGAGTGATATTTCGCTCGAGCGATCACTCGGTTATTGCAATCGCTTCATACTCGAGTACTCGATTATTGAAATTAATCGGTTTTTCCTATCACTACTAACTGGAGCTATCGTTAATAAAATTTTGAATTGCTAGTATTTTTACCGAATTAATTTGTACATCATATGACCTTATAGAACTTTTGGAGTCAACGGAATTCTAGTCCCGTATACACTTAACGCTCTGAGGTAAACCTGTGAGTTTTGCGTGTTAGACAAAGAGGAAGTAATAAAAAGAGAGATGACAGATTGTATAGTAAAAATTAGAACAGCATTCACTAGTGCTGCTGTGACAACAGGACAGACTAATCTTTTGGCGAAGGCAGCGGAATAGTCCACGGAATATTAGGAGACCCTGTATATCTTCATATAATATACAGGATAAGTCTTAAATAAGTGCAAATATTTTTATAAAATTTTTCTTTTGAAAATTTGAATTTTGAAATTTTTAATTAAACAACATAATACCTTCATAATAAGGCAACATATAGAGTAGGTAAATATACAAGAAAGATCCAGAGGTTCTCAAAATTTAAGCAAAAATTATGTTTTTTTTTAATTTTTAAAATAAAATATCTAGGTTATTTTGGAATTATATGAAAAACGGCAAAAAAATAATAAATATGTTTCTTTTATCGAGATCTACCAGCCCTGAAAATATTTGCACCTATTTAAGTCTCACCCTGTATATAAAAAACACAAAATAAGTCGTTAATAATCTAACAACTTTTTTTTTTTATTTCAGATACATGTTTGAATACAAATAGAAGCATAATTTTTGAGAGCATCAATATAAAAAGTAATAGTCTGGTAAGTTAAGCTTCATTCATGTTTTTTAATTATAAAAAATATACTTTAAGCCGATTTGTAGTACACTTCCAGTTTCCAGTTAAATAATAAATAATAATTCAGACATCCTGAAAAAAATTGTTATATTATTCTAGATGATATCAAAAACTATCTGAAATACTTTTAGGGAAAATAGGTACTGGCCCCATCAAACACTTCACTCATTCATAAAACACTTTCATTTCACAAATATTTAATTTCTTATCATTATTTTAAAAAAACACGAAATCAAATTACATAAATAATAATTTTCTTTACATCTGTTATTTCATTAAAGGTAAACGACTTAAATAATATTCCAAACATTACTTAAATATGTGATCTATAAGGTCATTTTAAGCACTTGATAAATAATTACATTGATAAACTTAGTTCAGACATAATTTAATGGATTCCATCTCAGTTTTGGTATTTTTTAAAGTGTAAAGCAAACTTTCTAGAGAATAAATAACCTTAATCAAATTCCGATAGTATTTGAATCCATTCAAATTAATGTGATTTTCATCATTATTGTTTAATTTTATTACACTCACTTTCTGTGAAACTGAAAATTATGTATCGTGTGTGAAATAATTTATTGGTTATCTGGTTATAAGGATTTTACTTATATTTGCTGTCTTTTTTTCACACTATATACCATACGAATAAAAAAATCGGCGTCAAAGATGGCTGGGTCGATGTTTTGGCGAGGTCAAGCCCTATAGACGTCATTACTTGGCCCGTATTGTTTTATACATTTTAATGACGCTTACTGCCCGTTTGTCTTTAAGAAGTTGTAATTTCTTTTAATATTGAGTTATACGATTTTTAAATGACGTAGTTTAAAATTGCAGGAAAATTTTTTAGATATAGATTTGTTTGTCTGGAAACATTCTATCCTTTTTAAATCTTTCTGTAATTGTTGGTCCTTATTTTTGACAAGTTCATTGTCAATTTTTGACGTCTATGAGGTCGTGACCTCGCCAAAATTATCATGAATTGCAATTCCCATTTTATAATGTCTTTGGTCATTCCCCATCCGTCTTTGACGCTGTTTTTCTTTTCGATCATACAGTTTTATGTTGTATTATTTTTATTTATGCCTTTTATCTCAAAAATTCAAATATTGCAACTAGTTTATCACAAAATTTTACCATTTTTCTCATATAGCGTACTGCCACATTAACAACAGATTTATCAGTAAGAGAGAGAAACTAAATAAGACAAGGACGCATTCGGTCCCTTTAAATATACTATTATAAAAATTTAATCATATTTCGATTCGATCGACTTTACGGACAGTGGATTTTTAAGAAACAACATTCTAATATACTCAACTTTTTGTAATAAAACTTAATATAGGTACTCAACTACTATTAAGACATGAAAACTCAAACTTTAATAATAAAAAGACTAGTGTCTGATCAGTTGGTTGTTTTTTTAGTATTCGTAAAACATATTCATTCATCAAGCAATCTTACTTTTATAATTTTTAAAGTACTTGTTTTCTCCCTTGATGTTTACACTTTTACCAAGTGACAATATAGAGAAATATTGCCCTACGAATTGGTACTTCCTTTAAGAACTTAAAACATGACAAAAATCTCAAAAAAATGCATTCCCAATTTCAACTGAGAATACATTTTTTTTTTCAAAAGGCAATAATGCATTAGAAAAAAAAACGAAGTCTGATAACCTTTTTTGTCACTTTGAAAGCAAATTTCGTTAATCAGTATGATGTTAGTATTATCAACAAATAATTAAAACATGTTTATTATTATAAAAGTACATATTTAATTATTTTATTATAACATGTTCTGTTGTAAAGTGTATACCTAGATACATACAGTGATTCTAAAAAAATATGGTACTGTGGTACTAAAATAGATATTGTATGTGAGTTATTTTAAAAATCTCTATTTTTAAAATTTCATCAGAATTAAAAATTCCTAATAAAGAAATTGTGCTATATATTCGGATTTTTTATATTAAATTTTTGATATTCCTTCAATTCTCAACACAAATATTCGTATACGTTATTAAAAACTATTAGATATAAGTGTCTAACGAATGAAAAAAGCGGTTTGTAATTATATTTTTTTAAAATTTCAATAAATAATATATAGATATACAATCTTTGAACAACCTATGGTTAATTTTTCTTTGGAAAAATACCCTACCTAGATACATTTTCTCCTTGTTTAATCCGTTATTTTAACAAGCGGCCGCCGGAAAACGTTAATCCATAGCGAATTGCTCCAAGACCACGCAAACACGTAACACTCACAACAAAATTATCTAATAACACTAGAATTCCGAAGGCTCTTCCCTTAAACCGTGCGACGGGAAATATTTAACAGCCTTCTAATCCAGAGAAAAAACAAAAAAGACGCACAACAAACAAACTAAAACTTGCGACTAGTGGTCTTTGCTAGTGGTTTTTGTGCGAGGTATCGCGATTCGTTCATTGGTTCCCAAACACCTTTGATTATAATAACACCAGAACTCCGAAGGCTTGACCCTATCCCTTAACCCGTGCGACGGGAAATGTCAAACAGCCTTAAGGCTAGGAAGAAAAACAGGAAAGACGCACATCAAGCAAACAAAAAAGCTGAGATCGTTGGCGGTTGGTCTAAAATATCGCGATTCTTTCAATTATTCGTCAAAAAGTTATCGTTTAAAAGGAATCTATAACAAAGTTGTTTCAGTCAAAAAATATCGAGAAAGTTACCAAAAATTAGCGTATTTCAATGAAAAGCTCGTGAGAATATTTGTAACTGTGAAGAAGATGTAACTTAGATTATAACATAGAAGAATAACATAGATTATAACATATCACAAAAATGTTAAGCTTTTTTCAAATCTTTTTGAAAATAAATACTAAATCCAGTGTCCATTTTGAAGCGCGTAGTTTTGATTTTATTGCTATGACAATTTAATTTTTGTTATGATTGTGATATTATTTCAATTCTAAACAAAAACATTCATGTATATTATTAAAAATTATTAGATATAAGTGTCTAATACATAACATATCAAGTAATCAACTCACAAGACAAAATATTCTGGTACTTATTAGTTATTTTAAACATTTATTTTTGCAATAATTTTTATTTAGAGTTCCAAAATAAGAAATTGTACCTAGAGTTATAAATGTTCAATTAGGTATATGTTTTACTTGATATATAATTATTAAAGTGTTTACATTTTTTTTGGTAATAATTTCAAGTTCAATATATTAAAATATGTATACATAACTACTATAAGAAACAATAAAATTCCATAAGTAATATACCCAATACTAGTTAATTCTTGATAGAGAAAAATTACTATTTAAAGACAATAGAATACCAATCTACACGAAGACTATAAATTTCTGTATTCTAAACGACAAATAGAAAAAGCAGTTTGTAAAATAGGTATTTTTAAAAATTTAAATAAATGATATCTATATGAAAATACAATCTTTAAACAACCTACGGTTAATTTTTCTGTGGAAAAATACCCTACCTAGATACATTTTCTCCTTGTTTAATCCGTTATTTGAAAAAGCGGCCGTCGGAAAGCCTTAATCCATAGCGAATTGGTCCAAGACCACGCAAACACGTAACACTCACAACAAAATTATCTGATAACACTAGAATTCCGAAGGCTTGACTCTTCCCTCAAACCGTGCGACGGGAAATATTTAACAGGCTTCTAATAAAAAAAAAAAACAAAAAAGACGCACAACAAACAAACTAAAAACATGCGACCGGTGGTGGTTGGTGCGAGGTATCGCGATTCGCGTTCACTGATTCGCATACACTTTTGATTCCACACACCGTCCGTCGGGACGCCAAATATTTCCCGATTTTGCCGGATCTATCGCGACCAAACAACAACAACAACGACCAACGAAAAAAAGCATAAATACCGTGTATTTGATGAGAGCGGGAGCGAGAGAGAGGACTGTTTTATCGAAAAACGGTCGTGGATGTGCCGCCGCCGCCGCCTGACGTCGTCAACCGTCAGAAGTTCGAAACGCAGGCCGAAGCACGACAAGTATGTAAAGTATTGTCGGAATTATGGACACATTGCTCGGCATCTAGGCGCTATTTCGACGCGATATCGGCACTTGCTGTATGAAAATCCACCCAAATCAAATGTGTACTTACCAAAAGACGAAATCTGGACGGTCTGCGCCGACTTTCACGTTAATTAGGACGGATTTTGGTCCGTTAATATGAAGAGTTTGTCTGTTTGTGGTATGCCAGGAATGGTACAAAGAATCTAGACAACGCGAACGCCAGAGCGCACACTGAACGCGCATAGTAAGCCAGTTTTCGTCGTGGCTCATTCGCCGTCTTTTTTCAGCCGCGGCGCGCTTTCACTCCCCGCGTTTCGGACGCGCGGGTCTTTTTTGTCATATGGCGCGCCATCTAGCCGTCCTTAATTTACTCTACCAGAAACTACGTACAAATTCCTTCACACCGCCACTAGGGGTTCTCCTAGATGGCACTACAAATTTTTATGAAGGCTGTATCTTAACAAATTATAGTACTAATTTAGTACAAAACAATATAAAATATGAAAATTAAGACTGGGTCGACCTACTTCTTACGACAGATTCTCACGACTTGTGTTGTACTTGGCAAGTACGCCAATATTTGCGTACTTGACAAGTATGCTATGCAAACAAATTTTTTTGGAGTCGAACAAATTCGACACTTTTAAATGGAAACACCCTTTTCTATAGGAGATAGACAAAAACTAATATCGGTGTCTGGAGCTCAATTTTTGTCAAAAACATGATGATGAAAACCGCATATCGATATCTGTTACCGTTTCGAAGTTACGGGGTGGTGTTTTTCAAAAATATGCATTTTTAACAAATCGCTGTAACTTTTTTGCCATGGAAAATTTTGTATTTTTATGAAAACATTTCTAAAGCACCTTTTTACGTAGAATTTAATGGTTTAAGTATATTTTTTTTTAAATTAATAATTTAAGAATTATCAACAGAAAATTTGATTTTTTACATGGGACACCCTGTATATTTTTAATTTATTGAAAGTAATTTAAAATTACCTTTCCAAAAATATGACACATTTGATATTTTGCTCGATTCCTCTTCGAGATATAGAGTATATAAAACATATAAAAATTCGCCCGCTTTAAATAAGTAGGCTTTGAACGTCACTGGCTGTAATGCAAAAAAAGTCTAGCTGTGAGCATCAATTAAAACGAAAATAATATTTGCTATGGGAGATGCAGAATTTTATAACAATTTAAAATATATTTAACCAACATCAACACATTTAAACTATATCTAATAACAATAAAAATAAATAGCAAACCAAGACATGAGATTTTGCTACAGGTGTTCGACATATCGGCCGTCTTCTGTTAAGGTTGTCGCCCACTAGAACGCGGCGCGGCGCGGCGCTGGGAAGAGATTTTTTTCCGGCTGCGAAGGGACTGCGCCCACTATAGCGCGCTTTTGAAACGCGGAAACGCTATTTAGTTAGTCGAAGTGTTTTTTACTTACTGTAGTTTAGTTTTTAAAGCAATGAGTTCAAGTACGAAAGAAAGCGTATGTTTTGTGCTCTTCTAACAGAGGAAGAGGAAGAGCAGGTGAAGAAGAAAAGGAAAGTTCGGACTCATAAGATTAACAAAAAAAGAAAGAAGTTTGGAGAATTTTACCATCTTTTTCCTTATTTAATAAAAGACAAGAGCATTTTTTTCAGTATTACAAAATGTAAAGGAAACATTTTACGAACTCCTCAATTAAGGGTTTTAGAAGCATAACACCGGGTATCTCTTCTACTCATCATATTTTTTCAGAAGAGACAAATTACTAATGATGCAATAATGAATCGCTTATAGCTGACGACTTTTGATAATTCTTATTTATTCTGATGTATATATTAACCTTATTTATATATTCTTATACTAGTTATGTGATGAAAAAACCCCAATCTTTTTTATATACTTAGGTAATTAGAATTTAAAAATTGGAGATTGTCACTTTTCTCCAAAAGTGGAGATTGCCGGTTTTGCTTCTACACCCCTCAATTATATTAAATCTTTGATAGAAAAACATTTCGTCCATCTGTCTCTAGTGAGGGAAAACTAAAAAAATATCATATTCCTTTTTAAAAATCTGTTTGCCTAATTTACCTTTCAAAATGCAATTCTACCATTGATACGTACCACTAGTTCCTAGTCAAAAAGCCAGTGAAGAGACTCGAGATGCAAAATTATTTCCGTTGTGAGTACGCACACTGCAACGCGCCGAAACGCGGGAGACGGAAAAAAGTTGATAGAGAAGTCGTCCGATTTCTTGACGGAAATTCAGCGGCGCGCTTCGACGCTGCGCGCTCTAATGTGCGTTGATCCATTTAAATACATGGCAAGCAGACAAAAGAATTTCCCACATGGCGCCGCGCCGCGTCGCGCCTCGGTCTAGTGGGCGACAACCTTTATGGACAGTCGGGGCAGTGTTTGAAAATTTCTCGCGGAACTCATTAACCCAGTGGGGGTTAAAGGTACCCTCTCATAACTACTAAGTATTTCTAATCCTTGTCTCGATTATAGGAAAGAATAAGGAACCTTTATTATTCGGCAAATATATCCATAGGATTAGATAGATCCATGAGCACTAAGTCAGGCGGCCTCGATGACCAACGGCTGGGATCTTGGTTAGCTATTGAATTATTCTTGAAATTGACTGCAAAAATTTGCTGACAACTTCAACGTTCAGAGGCGGTACGTCGTCTTGCTGGAAAAATATATTTTCGAGTTCCATTAAGGGCATATCATCAATAAGGGGTCCAAAGCCTACTAGTTAAAAGTGGCGAACTTTTAATAATTCTGTATTTCGAAGGGGATTATAACAAAATATCAGGTGTGCTATATTTTTGGAAAGGTAATTTTAAAATCTTTTCAGTTAATGAAAAATATAGAGGGTGTCCCAAATAAAAAATCAATTTTTCTGTTGATAACTCTTAAATTATTAATTTTAAAAAAATTATTCTTAAACCATTAAATTCTACGTAAAAAAGGTGCTTTGGAAATGTTTTCATAAAAATACAAAATTTTCTATAGCAAAAAAGGTACAACGATTTGTTAAAAATGCACATTTTTGAAAAACACCCCGTAACTTCGAAACGGTAACAGATATTGATGTGCGGTTTTCACGATCATGTTTTTGATGAAAATTGAGCTCCAGACACCGATATTAGTTTTCGTCTATCTCCTATAGAAAAGGGTGTTTCCACTTAAAAGCGTCGAATTTGACCCACCCTGTACAATTAAGATTATAATAACCGTAAAAAAAACCTCATAACAACTTTATTAGAATATTTTAAACGGAAAAGTGGCAGTAATGACCCTTTATGTGCTTACTTACTTGTAAGTGCTGTTTAGAAGGTGAGTTTTGTTGATGTAACTATTAACTGCATTTATACAGGATGTTTCAAAAAACAATTGCCCTCTCTCGTGGGGGCGAGGTAAATAAAAAATTACTTAATTAGTTTTTTTTTAATTTTATAATGTTTCCATTAACTATTTTAATGCTAAATAATGTGAACAGAGGATTGCCAAATATTAAAATATTTTCTGTTGAAATTAAATAATTTCCCCCTCATTTCCACCCTCTAGCAATCTGGGTAGTACAGTTAGTACATTTTAATCTCAATATTAGTACATTTATTTTTAACTTTCACACATGCCGATCGATGACGCGTGGATGACGCTTTAAGTAGCTGTCAAAGTCAAAAAGTTTAAAGATTAAATAGTGAAAAATTAAGAATTTATTTTAATGAGTCCCAATTTTTAGCACAATAATTAAAACTTGTTCAAAGAGCAAGCAGTGCTAAATTATATTTTCCATTATTAATTATTGTGGCCAAATATATTCTGTGATTATTACTAGAACTTTCAGTTGTGTTTGTTTTTAGAGTGTAACTATTCTAGCACATTATTCGCAACTGGAATTGCTTGCAAGTTAAATTGTTTTGTAAAAGTATGAAAGTGATAAGTGAGGAATAGAGTAAAATTAGAAAAATCTCAGAAGAACAAAGTTCAATATGGTAAAATTATATTGCCTTAGTATTCTGTACAAAGGGACCACTGCAGCTACTTGGCTAAAATCCGCATTCGATTTGCAGAGCGTAAGCTTTTTCCAGCGGGGATCTGTACACGAATTTATGCAGTTTTGTTGCAAGACTGTCGTAGAAAGAACACTCCCGGCCTCAAGGCAATCGGTACAGCAGGGTGACTACTTTTGCCATGTGTATGTTAGATCTGACAACCTCGCTGGCGTAGTAATATCAGATCATGAATACCCACAGAGGGTATCACATACTTTACTCACGAAAATTCTTGACGAGTTCTCAGAAAAAATACCAGCTTCGAATTGGCCAAACCTACAGGAAAAAGATGTGGCTTTTCCACAACTTAACACCTACTTAGCCAAATACCAAAACCCGCGAGAAGCAGATGCTTTGACGAAAATCCAGAATGAACTAGACGAAACTAAGATTATTTTACATAGTAACATTCAAGCCGTATTGGAGAGAGGTGAAAAACTAGATGATTTGGTTGCCAAATCGGAGGTGCTAAGTACTCAATCGAAGGCTTTCTATACAACAGCGAGAAAGACAAACTCTTGCTGTAATTTTGGGTAAAATTGTATTAGGTACAATCTTGCCCTTTCAAATTACAATAAATACCTGCCTATGTAATTTGATATGTCTATTTAATCAACAAAGACTATAAGCTGTTTGTCTTGATGTCTGTATATACATGTTAATATAAAGTTATAACTGTAAAATTCATTAAGTTATGGAAAAACATGCCTAATTTTTTATCAGTGATTTTTTATTAGATATAAAAAGTTATACCCAACTGTTATATTAAATTATTGAGAACATGCCTGTTTATCACTGATTTTTATTAGAGTTTCAAAATTTTTTGAATAGGTATGTTGAAATTACTGTTTAAAAACAATATTACAAAATGTCTATAATTTAATTATGGCATCTCCTAATGCTTTTTGTTACATTTGAAAAAGTTACTACATTCCAGATTTGGGGCATGAAAAAATATTTTTTTTTATTAATGTATAAGTTTTTAAAATTGTTGGTAATATACTTACTTTGACCATCTATTTGTCATTAATTAGGAGAATAATGTTTAAAATAATGTGCATCCATGTGTACTAATTGCTTCAAAATTATATAGTATTAAACATAAAATTTTATGAGTTTTCAGGAAATTATATTACCAATATTGATTAAAATGTATAATCTTAAGTGTTAGTTTATATATAAATTGTCAATAAAAATTATTTATGATACTGTTTGTATTATTGTAATATATTTGTAATTAATACCACAGATACACAAGTAGACAGTTTTGATAATTAGGCGTATTTTAATCTTCTATAGTTGGGATTTAAAATAAATAACCACATATGAAAATAAAAAATCTTCTATATATTTTTAAGTTAAATTTATTCTAATTTTTCTTGTTTTGTATCGTCCGGCTCTTCTTGTTTTACATTGGTTTTGGTACTTTGTAATAATTTCTTTGTAGCTCTCTCTTCCTTGGCCTTCTTTCTAGCTTCCTTCATCTCCTTTCTTTGTTCTTTTTCCCTCTTTTCAAGCAGTTCCTTGAACTTTTCGTCTTTAGGGTCAACTGCATAACCAAAATGTCTCCTGACTTCTTCTATTAACCTTTCTCTACGTGCCTGTGCAAGAAAAGTACTGATAATTAGAGAAAAAACGGTATATATAAAACACCCACCTTTGCTTCGTTAGCTTCAGTTTCTTTCTTGATAATTTTCTGTTGTAGTTCAAGCTTCCACTGTTCCAGTTTCTCAAGTTTTTTACTTATATCTCTTTGTCTGTTCATAATACTCTGTTCTTTTTCTGCCCTTTTCAATTTTGCTTTTTCCGCCATCTCGCCGATTGTGTAAGGATATTTAATCTGTTCATATTCGATAGCATCCATCAATTCTTGCTATAAAAGTATGTATAAATAAATTTTACACATAAAACTGATTTATATTATTCTTCTTACCTTAATTGGCCAGCAATATGCTGGGTCGATACCTGAAGATGCTCCATACCGACCATACGATCGTCTAACATATTTAAGGGTTCCTTGATACCATAATTCTGGCTCCGGAAATGGATCTTCATCGTTTAAAATCCTACGGTGATTATCTTTCAACCGCGATTTGTTTCTTTTTTGTTCTAATTCTGCTTCTCTTTGCTGCAGTGCTTCATCAACGACTAAAAAGGTTTGTTATGGTTTATTAATTCACCATGTAATAAAACTTCAAGGGATATCTCATGTAAAACCTAACCGTATTTCCGTAAAAAACTAACCTTCGGTTGATTGTTCAGCTTCAAGTTTTTGTATATTGATTTGATTTAAATCTGAGGAACTGTATCTAGCAGAAACGTTTCTTTGAATTAATAGTATTCTTTTAAAAAAATCCCTTCGAATCATTTTTTGATTTTAAAAAGCAGGGCTAGAAATATATTTTTGACATTTGAAATTAACCATAGATTAAACGAAGATTTATATTTTATAAACGGCTCGATCGCGTTTAATCATTGCTCTATTCACTTGGATGCTACGTCACCAGGGGTTCTTTTTCTTCTGAAAATTTTATGTTTAATAATGACGTCAGGTTATATTTATCTTTTTCATATTAATAAAATATATAACGATTTAATTTAGGATCAGGTATATATAAAGGTTATTTTAGATAAGAAACTTCTATCATAAATTGGTAGCCTTTATTGTTAACAATAACAAGCATCTCTAGTATTTGACTCGATCCAAGTTATAAACCTATTTACTCTTGTATAAACTCCGGGGTAATTAGGTTGTGCACATCCTTCGCCCCAAGAAACAATTCCTGAAATTGTTGGTAATTAGTATTTATTCAATATTCATCCGGTAGAGTAGCCGCATCTATAGAAGAAGCTACCGCGTCATCTGTAACACAAATGAGACTGGAAGTTTTGCTAATACATCAGCGTGATCTTAGATACTTTTATGTTAACTCTGTAAATTAATAATTTCGAAATTATGTTGCACGACACTGTCTAATGCCGTTTTTTTCTTTAGATGCAGCTACTCTACTTTATCGTCATTTCCAGGCCAACTCTTACACCGCCTTTTTTTGGTGGCATAGTAGAGTTTGTAAACTTACCAACTATTTGGTGAATGCTACCGTTAATTACATGTAAGGGTCCACCGCTGTCTCCCTGAAAGGTAGAAAATATAAGAGATACATAAATAGCAAAAATGAATAATCTACTATCAGTAGTATAGGGTACTATTTACTATACTCTGGTAGTGTATAACAGTCTGCACCAATGACTATAAAGAATATAAGGACATGTAACGCCCATATACGAGCTGCAGCAGAATTTGTGACCTTAGACACCATTCTTTTGATGGCAAACAATGAGTCATCATCTGGTCACCAGCGACAATTTTAGCGATTTTTCGAGTCTGAATTGTTTCAGGACATAATAGTACGAGAGCTAGCAACGTCGGAATAACATGTATTTTAAGACGTCTAGATCTTTGATGTATCTTATACTATGCTTTCTAGAACAGCATGCGGCCCGTCTGGCTACCGGTAAACGTTGCGTTCCCTGCTGTGCATTGAAAGAAAATCCTATATTTTTATTAGTCCTTTAAATTCTAGTATTGAATATAAATCGAACATGTCTCCATAGCGCAGTGCGTAGGAATTTCAGACCACGAACCAATGATTCAGAGTTCGAATCCAGATCAGGGCAAAGACTTTTTTATTTTATTTTCGTTTATATTCTGATTAAATATTAAATATTTGTTTTTTTTTTCTAATTACCAGAGTTATTTAATACTTTACTATCAGAATATAAACGAAAATAAAATAAAAAGTCTTTGACCTGACCCAGATTCGAACTCTGAATCATCGGTTCGTGGTCGGAAATTCTACGCACTGCGCTATGCAGACATGCTCGGTTTATATTCAATACTAGAATTTATAGGACTAAATTAATAAAAAATATAGGATCTTCTTCCGATGCGCAGTAGTGAACGCAACGTGTATCGGCAGCCAGACGGGCCGCATGCTGTTCCAGGGAGCATAGTAAAAGATATATCAAAGAGCCAGACGCATTAGCGTAACTAGCAATTCATTCTAGGGGGGGCCTGGTGATAAGCCAGGGGGGGCCTAGGTCTTTTGATTTTTAAAAAATGAATAATAATTTAAAAAACACGTTTTTTGAATAAAACGTTTACATGAATTTCTCTATCAGTAAATTTCATAGACTTGGTTATCAAACCGTGCTCCCATAAAATTAACACATTTTTTGAACTCAACAAAATAATATTAACTAAACAAAACTAGAAAACGTCATTTTTAGTACATCACAAGCAAATAAAAATTAATACGTAGCCAAGAGTCATAATTCAAGATTTCTCTGGGGGTGCCCAGCAGTACCTAGAGGGGGGGGGGGAATATTTTTTCAATTTATTATAAATTTCTTCCAAGTAATTTTAGCGTTTCGAATAGAATTTTGAGGGTAAAAGTTAGTATAAATGCGACATATTTTAAAGCTAAAAAAGTGTCGACATATTCATCAAAGACGTATATCGTGGGTTATCACTGGCATATTTAAAAAAAAGCATGTACGCCACTGACTTTGCTCTGGTTAGCGAAATAGTAGAAGCAGTTTAATGCCGATTAAAAGTTGTCTCTTGATATTTTGTCGATTTCGGCCTCCTTGATGAGATAAACGCAAATATCAAGAGATAACTTTTAATTGGCATTAAACGGCCTACATGATTTTGATATCGGAAGAAAAAAAGTCAGTGGCGCACATATTTTTTTTTAAATATTCCAGTTATAACCCATATGCACGTCCCTGATGAATTTATCCACACTTTTTTAGCATTGAAATATGTAGCACTTATAATAATTTATTATACCCTCAAAATTTCATTCGAATCACTATAAAAGTTGAGAGAAAATTATAATAAATCGAAAGATTATTAAGACTTACAAAACAAAGTAGAATAGGACCTATGTTGATATGAAAAATAAGAAAAATAAATCTAATTTTTATGTGAGGAATCTCCCCACGAGAGATGGCACATGTTTTTTGAAACACCCTGTATAGTAATGTATATTATAGACCGGACAATCGTATTTTTTATAGATAAATGTCCACTCTATATTATAGAGTATACTATTGTATTTATACTAACAACATCAAAGCTTAAATATATTTTTCTAATATTTACTTGACAAGAATCTTTCTGTCCCTGCGGGAATCCCGCGCATATCATGTTGTCCGTTATTCTGTTACTATATCCGGTTTTACGGCAATCGATGTTAGAGATAATTGGTACGTTTACTTCCCTCAACTTCGTAGAGACGTGTCCATGTTGAGCTGTGGCACCCCATCCAACAGCAACTCCTAGAAAATCAATTTGTGATTTATCATTAGCAATAATAATTTTCAAATCGTCTAAGAGAGAATCTTATATTTGTACGTCGTTATTCTGAGTCAATATTATACAAAGAAGCCAAAGCAATAGTAATGATGTATAAAAAATAACCCCAGAGTTCACAACTGGCAAATTAGTACGACAGGGAGACACGATATCCCCAAAGCTGTTTACAGCAACATTGGAAGAAATCTTCCGTCAACTGGACTGAACTAACAAAGGATTAAAATAGATGGAGAATATCTTAACCATCTAAGATTTTCTGATGACATAGTTATAATTGCCAATAGTCCTGAAGAACTACAAACACAAATTAACGAAATAAATACAGCCAGCAATGAAGTCGGTTTTAAAATGAATTTAGCAAAAACTAAAGTAATGTACAACAAACTAGTGGAAAGAAAAGCCATTCTAACCTCCCTAGAATAATAACCACGAGCCGCCACTGGTATATATTGAACCCAAGTTTCTCACAAAAGAACCAACGCCTTGGAAACCTAGTACCTGGGTTCAAGAACTCCAGCAAATGAATAATAAGCAAACTTACCCACTAACGCAATGTGCTGCTGTGAGAAGATATTTGCTATTTATTAGGGAAGCTCCGCAGTAAAATCTGTTGTTATATTGCAGGGCCACCATCCACGGATACTCATTCACTAGTGTTTCAACTCCACCGACGATCCTTTTATGTTTTAATGCTACACCGCACCCTAGAATTTCACAAAATAAGTATATAATATAATGACAAATTAAGCTGAAGCAGACACCAACATCATTAGCAGCGGCGTGCGGTCCATGGAAGCGGGGGAAGCACCGTTTCCCTAAACTTTTTAAAGATAAAAAAATAAATAGTTAAACGTTAATAATACTGTTATTTTATAACAAAAGATTAATTTAATTTGTTAAAATTATTTATTTGAAATCTTACATAAACGTAGTAAATTTAATTTGCCTTTTACTGCATGGATGCGCGCCTGGAAATCGCCGCCGCACAGTGTTCAAAATTGATGAAAACTTGATCAAAATTGATTACGTCCAAACTGTAAATCCTATTGCGCCAATTTAAACGACTTTTTCATTAATTTTTGACATGTTTTATTGCAAATAGTCTATAGCAGTCATATACCAATTATAATAGTATAAAAGTTTTGCAAGGGAACTTCACATTTTATATCAGACACAAAAATTTCACTTGGATAAAATTGCTGTTTAACTTCCAGTATTTATGTTCCAAACCTATGTTCCTTCGTTCCGCGTCTTAAATCTTTGTATAGATCCACTGTCATATTTTTTGAAATAATTAGTTACAACGCTTCTTCTAAAGAATGGCGAGACAAAGGAACATTACAAGATTTTTACCAACATTCCAGAATTTTAGTTGCTCTTGTGGGCGTGGTCATAGTTGCATCTGTTAACAATTTTGAAGCAGAGACGTTTCCCTCTTCACACAATTTCATGGACGCAGCAAATAATAACTCGGCTGCTGTATTTTGCCGTCGAATTTCTTCAATCTTTCTACGTTTACTAACGTACAAAATAAATGTTTTCGACGGCCTGCTGTAATAATATAAAATTTTAGAATTTATCCCTATAGATAAATAATTATTTTGCATATTTACCACCACTTGTAGATGCAGAATAACCAGGTTGCAGAATAACCAGCAAGTTGTTGACAACGAAATACTTCATAGGAAAAATAACATGAACCTGTAACAATAAATTTCTGTCTTTCCTGCCAGCAGCTTTTCATTTTGTTAAATATCGCGGAAAAACGATTGCCTCATGAAGTTATTGAGAGCGTTAGTTGCAATTTCATCTCCGTTTGTTTCAAAATAATCTTTTAAAAAGTCCAAAACATGAATTTTCTTCACAGAGAAATCTTGGCCAGGTATTTCCATCATTTTCTCATGGAGATGCAGACCTGTATTTGCCATCATGAAAAAAATGCCAAAAATAAACCCACACACTTTAAAACAATACATTTCTTGACTTACAACACCGCAAAATAACACAAACTAAACTTATGACTACACTGAACACCATATAATAAAAAACTAAATACTGGCCGCCCGGCCGCGTGTAAACATGTTTGGAACTCAGCGCAAATGAATCCATATTGCAGCCTGATGCGCACCTTTGCGCAGGTAAAACAAAATGTTCCTAAATTCCTTAGATTATAGACTTTTATTTAATGTATAATTTATTGATGAGCAAGGACTAGCAATAAACATAAAAGGCCAATAAAATGACATTTCTTCAAAAACTCTATTGGGTTATAGGCAGCAAATTATACCTGAAAGGAAAAGCGACCTTCATTATAGTATTTAGGTTATTTAAGTCCTGAAAATATGTACTTTTCCCTGATACAATTACATTTCCATGAAAAATTCGACCTGGAGCGGCTAACGCCGAAGCAAAAGAGTACATTTTATTGCCAAAATATGGTGTATAAAATTATTATTATTTTTTTAGCTTTTGCTCATAAAGATCTGCAGTCATGATAAAGCCATTAAAGTAATGCTTGGTTAAAAGTTGTAAAATGACGTAAAGAAACATATACATAAATTTGACGATTCTCGAATAAACTAAAAATTTTCAATTTCGATCGATTTTTTGCAAATTTTGAACACTGTGCGCCGGTCGCCTACCCCTCCTTCATGTAGGTGTTATTGACCTCGAACGCAAACGACAAATTTAAGCCGGAAAATCGCGCACAGTTGCTAGCCACGGCAGCGATCTTTCGGCCGCCTTCCTCGACTTTTAATTTATCGTTCGCTTGTGATTTTATAGGTAATATTATAATAAATTAAATCCAAAATTCTATGATGATGTTATAGACAAATTTGCAATGGCTGATAGACGAATAGACCTCAAATACAAATAGGTGCCTATCTCGCGTCAAGTGCTTCGGAAAATTAATTTAAAATATCGTATTTTAACTATTATAACTTTATGTGTTTTTGTTTGTTTAACAATTTTCGATAGAATTTTAATCGAACAATGGAATTGGCCTCGAAATTTTCAAAGTTAAGTTTTTTAAGAAAATGTAAAAGTAATGTCTCGAATTAGGGTTTTTTACCGATTCGCTTCCCCGTCTATAATTGTCACCGCACGCCGCTGATCATTAGTCCGAAAAAGTAGCAAAATAAGTGTTCGGCGTTTATTTAATGTTTTATGTAAAACTGTCTAGGTATTTTTATACAAATGAAGAAAGAAATTAATGATAAAGGATTATACTATATCCGTAACTTCTTTCTTTTTAAGATTTTTTGATGGTCAAATATGAACAAAATATTCCTTATGTTTGGACTAAATCTTCTCGAAAATAAAGACATCATTTAAAATTCCGTTACTGTACGGAAATAGATTGAAGTTTTATAATTACAGTAATATATAATTTATATGGTTTTGTAACAAATTGCTCGCTATTTTATGGCAAATGCTGAAGCTCTGCAAATCTTAATGAAGCCTTAATTAAAGCACGGAATTTTTGGTGTGGCTTAACACAACAGGATCGGGCTAAGCCTTAGGCAGATTCCTGAAATATAATATACAGGGTGGTCCGAACTGTATTCCGGAAAACTTCGGCAGCATATTCTGGAGATAAAATTAAGTAAAAAAGTTCGTATAAATGTATGTCCTAAAACGCTTAGTTTAGGACATACAGGGTTTAGAAGTTTCATTTTTATTTCGATTTTTTTCAAATAATTTCTTAAGTAACGTCAATATTTAGATGAAAATTGGTATCTGGGAGTTTTTTGGCATGAGAAATTTGATTTTGATGTCAATATGACTACGACTACTACTAGTAGAGGGCGCCACCTACATATTTTTTAACTGGTTTGAAGAGTAATAACTTTTCGTCCGTACCTGTATAAAACTACTGAGTAAAAAAATATACATTTACGACGTTTTTTACGTGAAAAAGGTCTTCTGGTAAAAATCGCTATGAGTAATAGTTTTCGAGATATTTGGAATCGTAATTATCAATACCTATCATCATTGACATACATTAAACATGTTGACTAAATAGTTATTAGACTGAAATCATAAATTTCAAATATTTTTGTGCCAAAAGTTCAACAGAAACTGTTTTATCATCATTTTTTGCAGAAAAATTTATGATTAATTTAAAAAAATAAAAATTTCCCAAATTTATTATTTCAGTTATATTTTCAGTTATATAGTATTATTTCAGTAGAAATAACTATCTACTCAACGTGCTTTTATTTTTCGTCAATAATGCCATGTATTGACTATTTCCATTCTAAATATCTTAAGAACGGTTGCTCGTAGCGATTTTTACAAAGAGATATTTTTTACGTAAAAAGTCACAGAGATGTATATTTTTTCTCTTGGTAGTTTTATACGGGTACGGACAAAAAGTTATTACGCTTTAAACCAGTTAAAACACATATAGGTGGCGCCCTTTACTAGTAGGAGTCATATTGACATCAAAATCAAATTTGTCATGTCAAAAAAACTCCTAGACACCAATTTTGATCCAAATATTGACGTTACTTCAGAAATTATTTGGACAAAATCGAAATAAAAATGAAACTTCTACACCCGGTATCTCCGAAACTAAGCCATTTTAGGACATACATTTATAGGATCTTTTTTACTTATTTTTATCTGTAAAATATGCTGCCGAAGTTTCCGGAATACAGTTCGGACCACCCTGTATATTCCCTGCGACCCGAAAGTACAGCTTAATAGACTCTTAAGCATTGGCGTAACTAAAGGGGTGCCCGGGGGTGCCCCCCCCCAGGTTCTGCTGTGCACCCCCCAGAGAAATCCTGAATTATGACTCTCGGCTATACGTATTAATTTTTATTTGCTTGTGATGCATTAAAAATGACGTTTTCTAGTTTTGTTTAGTTAATATTATTTTGTTGTGTTCAAAAAATGTGTTAATTTATATTTTTTTAGAAAATTTGTAGGTATTTAAGTAATCTACGGGAACACGGTTTGATAACCAAGTCTATGACATTTATTGATAGAGAAATTCATGTAAACTTTTTATTCAAGAAATGTGTTTTTTTAAATTATTTTTCATTTTTTTCGGCCCACCCCAGGATAAATTGCTAGTTACGCTAATGCTCTTAAGTTTTATTACGTATTGTTAAATCTGTAGTACAATGTTAAATATCACCCCAGTTATTGGTATATGCTCAACAATACTCACTGCACTTTGGACAAAATAAGTTTGGAATTACTGGTTTCTGAGGCGTTTCTGGTTGGTTTTCTTCAGGTTTAAAGTCTGCACTAGTTTGGAGAATAATTTTTGGGTCGAAACGACGTTGGATACCGACGTTGGCTAGAAGCCTAATTTGAAACACAACTGCAACGTTGTTTAAAAATCTAATTTACAGAAATACAAAACTAATATGGCGTCTAAGTCGCGTTTTATCCTAACTTGGGATAATTATAGTAAAAATATTTTATGATGATTAGTTAGAGACATATGTCAGATGACAGTGAAGGAAAACAAAACAAAAGTATTTAAGTGTGGAGGATGTTTGAAGATCATAATTATTGAAACACCTTAACCGACTCTGTAACTCGTTACCCAAGGCAAAAAAGTTAAACGCAAACAACTTTATTGATAAATGTATTGTTTCTACTTTGAAAAATACTAATGGGCCTTAAAATTAAAGAAGTTTTAAAATTTTCTTGAATTTTTTTTTTTAGTAAAATAGAGGAGATAATTTATTCGCAGTCGAAAAAATTGTTTCCGCGTGTTTTTAGGGTCAAATATTTCAAGTTAATGTATTCAAAAAAGCAGGAATTGCTATTTTAGGAACGAAACATTTTCTTATTTAACAACATGGCGGCTTTCGCTTTGTTGTTTTGGAGATTAAGATGGAGTAGTTCAAGTAGTCGCATACTGGACTAATAAAGTCGCAGTTCGGCCCTTAACAGGTAGTATACTAGTCGCAAAATTGCCTAATTTAGTCATCCTAGAGTCTAGCTTGTGCCGCCCTCTATAATCTAAATAAACGAGGGAGTGGATATACTATCGGTAATATATGTCGATGTATATTTAAATTTAGTTTTATATGTACCTTTCTTATGTCCCATTTTAATTAAGTTTTTTTTTATTAAAACAAAACAGCACTGAACTGTCTGACTGAACAGAACAATGAAGTGAAAATTTAAGATTTAAGGTTATGGTTCAATACAGTTGCAAAAAGGTAGTGACTCGACGTCCTACCAACGTAAGAATAAGGAAATCTAAACAACGTTTTGGAATTAGTAAACCAGACGACGTTTGCATAACGTTGGAATAGGTCCTGTAAACTGACGTCCAGGAAAACTCTATATTGTCCAACGTTGTAACTACGTTGTCCGGATCACCTAAAGATCACTTTAAGCAAAAAAGGTTACAAGACAACGTTTATTCGACGTCGCAGAAGCTTCTACTTTGCTGTAGTACTAGTCCAACGTCGGCACAACGTTATAAAAACGTTTAAATTTATTTTAATACCAAAGGTAGGGAGCTAACTATTTTTTGTAACTAATCCAACGTTGTGTTTAGTAAACATGTGGTCGCAAGTCGTGAAAATGCTACTTGGGTAGTACAATGTTAAATATCACAGTTATTGGTATATGCTCAACAATACTCACTGCACTTTGGACAAAATAAGTTTGGAATAACTGGTTTCTGAGGCGTTTCTGGTTGGTTTTCTTCAGGTTTAAAGCCGACTACACCCAAAAACCAATCGATTATATTTTTGTGGCTGGAATTTGCTGTAGGATCGGTCAAATTCAACGGTCTGCTGATGACTTGTGTCTCCATTACTATGTCACCTGGCTTGAAACTAGAAGAAACACAGAAAAAATAATAATTCCAAGCCTGATTAGTACCCAAATTAGTTTTGGAAAAATGTTAAAAGATTTACTAGGATTTATTATACCGAGAAATAGGAAAACGTAGAGGCACTTCTAAAACATTTGTAGATACAATGGGTAAGTCTAATTTAGTAGTCTAACAAGTTCAATTATTTTTAGGGTTGGTATATGATGGAAATAGTAAAAATATATATCCACACCACTGGATTCTGTAAAAACAAATGAAAATAAAAATAATAAACCACTAGATTCTATCTAAAACGATCTATATACCGGGTGCGTCCCAAAATTGGCTCACCCTTATAACTTTTTTATTTTTACAAAAATTAGGATTGATTGACTTATTCAATTGTTTTTGGTCACTTCCTGTTTCACCGGAAATGACTACAGCTTTTTATTTTTAAATGGCACCCTCGGTATTTTTTTTTACTTTTTTCGATAGAAAATTCAAATTCAAATTCAAATTCAAATTTCTTTATTAGACCCCATTAAGTTTAACAGAATAATATTAGTGTTAATAAATGTGTGTCTAAAGGGCACCGCGATTAAAAAACCGATACAATAGCACAAAGTGGTGCGACCCCAAAAAAATGACACTCTGAATAGAATGATATATCATATGTCAACTTTTGACATTTTCGCTTTGAAAAAATCGTCTTTTAAATTTCAATCTAGAGTGACATCTGTGTTACAAACACTAACTTTTAATCAAGGAGCCTTGGAAAAATAGATTTGATCATCTAATGTCTTTCGTGTCTTGTTCTGGTCGGTTAAAAGAAGCCCCAATCGTATTTTTAATCATATCTCAATTTTTTTTTGAAATGGAAGGTTGGTTCATTAGCATATGTATTTGGAAAAACCATTTTTTACGAATAATTTGATACCACACACTTGGTATTTCGAGTCAAATTGTCGTTATGAGCCGCATGATACAATTTCAAATAAACCATATGCAAAAATGTCAAAAGTTGACATATGATGTTCCCCATTCTATTCAGAGTGTCATTTTCTATCGAATGAGGCAAAAAATACCGACGAGGGTGTTGAAACAGGAAGTGACCAAAGATAATTGAATACATCAATCAATCCTAATTTATGTCATATACTAACACACCAAGTCTCGTTTTTTATCTGAAAAAAATAAAAAGTTATAGTGCTGAGCCACTTTTGAGATACACCCGGTATAGGAAGCCGATTTAACATTTTCGACGTGTAGTCAGAAAACAGATACAAGATGTATCTCATATTGGGGGAGAAACATTTTCAGTTACCCCTATATTTCGTTGCATTTCTGATTATCCCGATATTCATTCACCCTGTAATATGGAAACTAAGAAAACCAAGACAGTTTTTATGTTTGCGGCATCTTTGGATTTAAAAAATAGCTCAGGTTCGTGAAAAAGACAAGGTTCGAGTTTTATTAGTAAAAAAAATGCAATTCAATGAAATTGTGTCTACACACTGTATAGGGTGAGTTAACGATAGAGTAAAGTCTATTATCTCATTTGTTTCAAGGTTTACAAAAAAAAAATAATATAAAAGTTATAGGGATGGTTAAGGTACACATTTTAAAATTATTATAGAGTATACAAGGTGCTTCAAAAAAGTGTGGCGGCTATAACATATGTTTTTTTAAATGCAACACCCTATTTTTTATTTTATTTTTAGATTCTGCGTAAAATTCCATAACTTTTTTATATATAATATTATATACCTAAAATTATTAGTTTTTGTAATATTTCAATTTATTTAAACAAATGTTAAATTGCAGTGTGGTAAAAAATTGTCAGTGGTGCCATTGTTTCTGAAGTTGGCGTACCAAAATTTGGTAGGAGAGTTTTATAGAGATGGAAAAAAAGATATATGTAAAGATATTTTAGTTAAATAATACAGGGTGTTCAAAATATATTTATGAATTTCAACTACTTAAAATTAAAAAATCTCAAATTTTTTCAATGGGACACCCTATATATTATCATTTTTTCTGATAGATTTGACAAAATTCTTCAACTTTTATTAAGTATGTCATATCCCTATTTTTAATAGTTTGCAATTTATTCCCATTTTTTTCTATTTTTACTCATATATTTTTAATACAATTACCCTATAAAATCATAGTTGCCATGACAAAACAAAACTATTTATTACTTACCTTTAACAAGTAGCTTCATAATTAGTTACAATTGCTGGTATTAGTTAAAATTAATTAACTTTACTCAAATAAACAAAATCGCAGTACTGAATTTCTTGGTGTATTTCTATATTATGAAAGATGACACTTGGGATTTTTTGTCGGGGCGAATAGCCACAGATTAGGGTAATATTAGATTACCTAATTGCTAAAGACTACTGATGTATGAATTTTCTTCAACATACAGTATAGTTTTTTTCTCGTAGTAATTCTGGTTTATAATTCATTTGGTAAAGCCAATATTACTACTGCCGCGAAACCGTCCCATTACAATGTTTTCTAGATAATATACATCTATCCTTATAGTAGTTAGCAAAGTACTATATAATATATAGTACTGAACCAAAAAATGTGGTTTTCTAAGCTTGTCCGTGTATATCAATCACATTGACTAATTCATTTCAAGAAAATCTGTTATCTCTACCATTTATACTTATTACAACAAACTAAACTAAAATTCAAATTTTGTTCTTAATTTGCTTAACAGACATGAAATTGTCATAATTATTACTTTTTGTCATGGCAACTATGATGTTATAGCGCAATTGTTTTAAAAATATGGGTAAAAATAGAAAAAATTGGAATTAATCGCAAACTAATAAAAATAGGTATATGACATTCTTAACAAAAGTTGAAGAGTTTGGTAAAATCTATCAGAAATGATAATATATAGTGTGTACCATTTAAAAAATTGAAATTCCTTAATTTTAATTAGTTGAAATTCCTAAATATATTTTGAACATCCTGTAACATCTAACTAAAATATCTTTACATAGGTCTTTTTCTATATCTCTATAAAATTCTCCTACCAAATTTTAGTTGTCCAACTTCAGAATCAATGCCATCATTGACAATTTTTTTACCCACTGCAATCTAACATTTGTTTAAACAAATTTAAATATAACAAAAACTATTAATTTTAGGTATATAACATTATATATAAAAAAGTAATGGAATTTTACGCAGAATCTAAAAATAAAATAAAAAATAGGGTGTTGCATTTAAAAAAACATATGTTATATTCGCCACACTTTTTTGAAGCGCCCTGTATACTGTATAATAATTTTAAAATATGTATCTTAACCATCTCTATAACTTTTATATTTAATATTTTTTTGTAAACCTCGAAACAAATGAGATAATGGACTTTACTCTATCGTTGACTCACCCTGTACACAGTGTATCGATCATTGGGATCTAATAAACTAGAATAGATTGTCTGTTAAAATGTAGGCAATGTTGCGCGATGCGACCGCTTTTTTGTTTGTTTTTTTTACTTTATTTTAATAAATATGCCAAAAAAACTTCACATTTTTATTGCTAATTTTTTTGTTCTTCAAGATGGTGTTATAAGATTTTCAATCACCATCTTGTAGAACAAAACAAGTAACAATGAAAATGTGAAACTTGTTTTGTTATATCCTCTCTAAAGTTATAAAAAATAAAATGCTAAATTACGAATGTTCGATTTTTTCAAAAATCTTCGGAAATATTTGAAATCTTTAAACTTTTAAATTGCTCGATTTTTTACTTCTTTACTGCTATTTAACCGACTTCATGTGTCTTCTAGTTTCCGATGATGAGACCAAAATTTTGGGACACCCTGTACAGTGTTTCAGCATTTGAATTTGTTCCACTTTTAATTGGCTATACAGGGTGAGTCTTTATTAAGTACAAATATTTTCAAGACCGGTAGATCTTGAAAATCATAAAAGAATCATATTTTCGCTTTACTGTTTTTCAAATAAGTCCAAAATATCCGAGTTATGCAAGTTAAATTTTAAAAAAAATTGGATTTTAAAAAAAAATTGAGAGCCACAGAATGGATTTTATATGGTTTTAGACATTTCATACTTTTGTTATTTTCTATTACTCTCTCAATTTGTATTTCTTGGTTCTTCCTTTTATTTTCTTTTATCATTTTTCTTATGGTTTTATTTATCTCTGTGTATTCCATCGATGTCCTTTTTCCTTCTTTGTTCAGGTTACGCCTTTTACCCATGAGATTTTTTATCTTCTGAGATGTAATCTAATTTATTAATTTCTTTCTTCTTCTTCTTAATATTTTATTAATTTCTTTCTTTTTGTCATTTTGTGCGACTTCTTTTCCTACTTTTTTCATCTCTCTTGTCAGTGTATCGTTTATTTAAGCAAATTTTATATAAGCAAAGCAAAGTTTATATAAGCAAATTGAATAAAAATGTTAAATGTTATGAATTTTTCAGCAAATTTCTACTATTTTATTCCCTAGCTTCTAGCCACCATATCTCGGTTAATTTTGATCTGAGCAAAAAAAGTATAGAAATAATTTCTATGTAAAATTTGACGCCCCTCGTCTTTTATTTGAACTTTTTTTTCTTGTTTTTACTGTTTCTCCGAAATTTCGAAAAAATAATTTTGTTTAATTATTTCACCCCTCTGAATTAAAAAAAAATGCACAATTCGTTTTTCACAAGACGTTTCAAAGTAACTCATATCAAAAATTCAAGTTTTTACCAAAACTTCGTATTTGAAGGCCTATTTTCTTAGACTATTAAGAAAAACTAGCTTTTTCCCGCGACTAGGTTCGCGCACAGTTCGCGTTACACGTCGAATCGTTCATGCATTGATTTATATGATTGTTTACTTCTTTTTAGATAGAGCTAGTGAGCCTTACAAATGCATTATTTAAACTATGTTTTTAAGAGTTTTAGAGCTAATCGTATTTCATATGAAAGTTAGCAATTGTCGATTTTCTGGGTTTTATACAGAGCGTGTCTTGAATAAGTGCAAATATTTTCAGGGCTGGTAGATCTCGATATAAAAAACATATTTTTTCTTTACCGTTTTTCAAATATCTGAATCATGAGTTCCAAAATAACCCAATTATTTTATTTTAAAAACTTCAAAAAAAAATATTATTTGCTTAAATTTTGAGAACTACTAGCTTTTCGGGTTTTTCTGTCTGGTAAATTTAATCTACTACCTATGTTGCCATAATTATGGTTTTTAACTAAAAACTAAAAAAAATCAAAAGGTTTTTCAAAAAATTCCAAATTAAAAAAAAAATGTCGCGAAAAAACCATAATCGTGTTTCTGGGGTCAAAATATACTATCGCTAAAAATAATTGCGCTTATTTAAGACTCGCCCTGTATATACCTTTTAAAATATTGATTTCGTTATTTATGACTTATTACACATTTTTACATATTATGTATTTAAAAAAAAAAGTTTTTTATTTTTTTATCGCGTGTATATGATTTTATGACACACTTTGTATACCAAAAATAAAACTTTTGATTAGACCAGTCTGAAATAAATAATCTTAATAATTCTAGAAGTTATCGAAATCAAAGTATTTAAAAGAAGTTCAATTTTGGCACCAAAATGATTTTGAAATCTTGCTTTTTAACACTTTTTTTCAAAATTTTCTAAATACTTCCATTGACTGAAACTAATTATGTATGGTTGAATAGAGGGTGGATTTTATTTCTTAATTTTGTATAGGGTGTATTAGAAATCGAACCAAAGTCGAAATTTTGCAAAATCTGAAAAAAGAAAATCTCTCCAAAATAATAGTGAAATGATTATTTACCCTCTATAGATAGAACCCTACCTATTGTCCCATATAAACTGTATTACTAAAATAAATAGTTTTAACAAATGAAGTTTTTAATTGAATATTTTGAAATTTTAAATTGTCGCTTTTCTTGATATAGGTACTCCCTTGATTTTTTTTATACTGCCAGCTATTATAGTAATGCATTTTCGTACAGCCAAACTTTCATTCTCTATTCTACTTCTTAAGGGTATAAATTTCATAAATTCTCTTTATCCAAATAATTAACTCATGTTTTTTAAATAATACTTTGTGCCAATTTTTATGTGTAACTGTGTGTAACTTTACTCATTTGGTTGATGAATTTCAAAAACCTCTTCTAATTCTTTTTGTAGGATTTCATTCTTCTAGACCAGATAGTATGGAATTTTCATACAACAAATTGTTCTGACATAATAATATTACTCTCTAAAAGGATGAATTTCCTAAAATTGCTTTGTGTAGCTAATTCACTGCTAATATTTATGTATCTAAAGCCTTTCATTTAAAAAAAGAATCATCAAGATTGGTGAAGCGGTTTCGGCGGGATGGATGTAACAAAAAAACCTTTTGAGCTTTTATACAGGGTGTTTCAAAACAAATGCGAAAAACTTTAGGGGGTGATTCCTTGTTCAAAATAAAGGGTAGTTTGCTTTATAAACGTTGGGTCAAAAGTCGACCATTAGGGAGATATCGCGGTACAAAGATGGCGGAAAAATAATGTTTTTATTTTTTATCTTGAAAACGAAAAGAGATAGACTAATGAAATTTTATGGACAACCATACTGTTATGAAAACACACTTTCAGGTATGTTTTTTACTTTTTTTAAAATGAGTGGAAGGGGTTGAAATAAACTACCCCTATCATTCTTGTTAACGAAATTTAAAGAAAAATCTTATCAAACACATGCAAATGCTTTAATTTGGATAGTTAGTTTGTTTAGAAACTTTTTTACCTCTTGTGTTTTTTTGATAAAACTCACCGATTGGAAATTAAAAATAAAATGTAAAGCATTACATGTCAGGACAAAAAACATTTTTTAGATTAAGAATCTAGTGATAATAACGATAATAATAATCATCTAGATAATAAGGTATTGCAGTAGAGTAATGTCAAATAAAATAATATTAGGAACATCCTAAAAAGTAACAGCGGCCGACTAGATTTTTTCCTAAAAAAATTACAGCAGCCCACTAGATTCTTTATCAGAAAATGTTTTTTGTCCTGACATGTAATGCTTTACATTTTATATTTTAATTTCAAATTGGTGAGTTTTATCAAAAAAATACAAGAGATAAAAAAGTTTCTAAACAAACTAAACTATCCAAATTAATTTTTTTGCATGTATTTGATAAGATTTTTCTTTAAATTTCGTTAACAAGAATGATAGGGGTAGTTTATTTCAACCCCTGCCACTCATTTTAAAAAAGTGAAAAAATTACCAGAAAGTGTGTTTTCATAACAGTAATGCTTCCATAAAATTTTATTAGTCTATCTCTTTTCGTTTTCAAGATAAAAAATAAAAACATTATTTTTCCGCCATCTTTGTACCGCAATATCTCCCTAATGGTTGACTTTTGACCCAACGTTTATGAAGCAAACTACCCTTTATTTTGAACAAGGAATCACCCCCTGAAGTTTTTCGCATTTGTTTTGAAACACCCTGTATATGTATATGGATTATTTCAAAAATCTTAAAAATAAGTTCTTACCTGAGTATCTTATTATCCTTAACATCATTAGCAACTATAAGATTCCCGTACGTCTTATACAGACTATTTTTTCTTTTAACATTTTTAATGATATTATTTTGTCTAGATGTATCTTTGGCATTAATAGTTTCTTCACAAAACGCGACCACAAAACACCAAAGTAACAATAACACAGCACATTTAACAAGATTAAACATTTTATACAAAACTTTTCACATCACTGATTAATAATAATGTATTTTTTATTAAAAAAGTATGAATTTAGTTGGTTTTAACGGAAATCTATCGAGTGTTTGAGACTATGCGGTTCTTCGAGTGATGTACAGTGCGGAACTAACAGTTAGTTGGTTCGCATCAGTTTCTTCAGCAAAAGTAAATAGACAAAGTGGGTTATGAGGTGTACCATACCATATTTAAGAACGTCCGATGGATAATATATATGCTTTTTTTTAGTTCTTCGTCAAAACCGGCTGCTGATATTAAAACGGGATTAGATTATAGTCATTAGTCAGATATTACGTTGTGGGATTTCGCGCTCGGTAGACTTAATGGCCATTTCTTGAAAACGAATCTTGGCTCTGTCTTTTTTTTTTCGTTTTTTAAAGCCCCAAAGGTACTTTTTTTAATGGTCTCGTGTAAGCATTAAGATTAAGGTATACCGGGTGCGTCTCGAAAGTGGATCATCCCTATAACTTTTCTATTTTTTCAGATTAAAAAACGAGGTTTGGTATATTAGTGTTTGGCATAAATTAGATTCGATTGACGAATTCAATTATTTTTGGTCACTTCCTGTTTCACCGGAAATGATTACAACTTTTGATTTTTAAATGGCACACTAGGTATTTTTTTACTTTTTTCCATAGCAACTGTTAAAATTGCCTTATATAGTCTATAAAATGAATAACTTTGAATTTTGACCGTTATTTTTTACCAACATGGCAAATATAAAATCCCTCTGTCAAAAAAGTTACTGATATTTCTTTAAATTGAGTGCCTGAACGAATCAGATAAGTAACTCTTTTTACTTTCGTGAAATAGAAAAGGAAAATAATAAAACAAGTGACAGTTCTTCCTCTTAATTGACAAAAGTAAAATGTCATCAGCTTTTGACATTTCTAAATATTAGACCAATGCCGTCTCTAATAGAACAGCCAGGGAGCGAGATTTATGACGTCACGCTAGTCAGATACTACGGATTAATAAATATGTTGTAGAATACATGGAAAACGTAGTTATTCCTCGTATTTTTGGTTTGTATTTTAAAAATGATATAGTTTACATGAAATATACATAATATACAGTTAATAAATACAATATAATATATACCTATTTATAGTAATAAATACTTTGGCAAATAAACTATGAACCATACAAATGCAGCAAATGTTTTACAATATACAAATAATGAATAGTTGGTGCATAAGATAATGGGTAAAATGTAAAATATATTTTAAATTTTGGGGTTTGAAAATAGATCTAATTTAACAAAAAACATTCAATATCTACTAATAGTGTATTATTGTTTGCAATCACAAAATTTATTTATATATTATAATGTTTACTGCAATTAATAAACTAATATAAACTTGTCAAAAGATGACCACATATTTTTTTTAAATTATTATTCTTAACACAAAAACTATCTACATTGACTATGGAGTACGATTTCAGCCATATTGTAAAACATTTGCTGCATTTGTATGGTTTATAGTTTATCTGCCAAAGTATTTATTACTATAAATAGGTATATATATATATATATATATATATATATATATATATATATATATATATATATATATATATATATATATATATATATATATATATATTTCATTTTAAAATACAAACAAAAATACGAGGAATAATTATGTTTTCCATGTATTCTACAACATACTTATTAATCCGTAGTATCTAACTAGCGTGACGTCATAAATCTCGCTCTGAGGCTATTCTATTAGAGACGGCATTGCGTCAGCATGGCCGCAAGTTGATAACCTAATAAAATTAACACTAGAAAAGCCCGCGGGAACTGTCAAATTCAAAGTTATTCGTTTTACAGACTATATCTATCAAAAATAGTAGATAAAACAGTACTTTAACCGCAAGGGTAGATTAAATGATGCTTTGACAGCGAGGATAGGTTAAAAACTATTGCTTCTCGCACGTTTTTTAATTGCTTCCATTTTTGAGAATTTTTGTATTTTTTTTCATAAGTTATTCGGGATTTAAATGGAAGTAGTTTGGATATGGCGTTTGTCGCCTCAGCCTGAATATATGTTCGTAATTTACTTATTTCGTTTCGAGCCATTTCTGGCTCCAATTCAATCAGCAATCGACATGAAAGAGAATTAAAAAGTATTTACTCAAAACCAAAGAATATAGGTACCTAGCTAGAAAAAGAATGGACTCTGCCATACTGAAAAATGGTCCTATAATAGGATATAAAGTGGCGCCATCTATTGAGTAGGGCTTGTTTTAAATGGATCGAAGCGCGAGCTTTTTAAATGAGCGTATTTATTGAATTTTACTCTAAAATATATAATTAAATTTGATTATTAAATCTTATTTTTTACACAAATTCAACAATACTAATAACAAGTATCGTTGTGATGTGTAAAAGATAAGATTTAACAGTATAATTTATACAATTATTAAATAAAATTAAAGCCAAACATGTGAAATATTATTTATTATTTAAAGTTTTTATTTATAAGTCAAATATTTAAACATCGTTTATTATAATAAAACAAGACCAACGTAATACGCCCAAAGTTTTGTAAATGGAGTAAATATAAATAGGTACTTAAATGATGACAAAAATAAAAGACTTACATTATATTTTTAAGACCACAAACAAAAGGAATTGTCTAATTAAAACACATATAACAAATTATTCTATGAAATTATTATAGTTTGAAACATATGTTTGAAAAACCTTTTGATAATCATTTATTTGATAATATTATGATTGGCGCCATATATTCTTTGATTGGCGCTATGACAACGACAATATTTTTTTGAGAATTTGACAATAATATGACAATGGCCTTTGGAAACTATGGAAACTACAAAAAAATTCTGATTTAACGCCATCTGGCAATGACTAGTAGCAACTTCTTAACCTAAAAATTAATTGCACTACCACCTAGTGGCTATATCATAGGTATGTCAGCTTTTGACATATCACTTTAAAAAATAATCCTATTTTAAATTTCAATCTAGTGTGCAATGACTGTGCTAAAAATACAAATTTTTAATAAAGAAACCTTGGAAAAATACCGAATGATCGAAAAAAAATGGCGCGGCGTCCAGTTGGCTTGGAAATAACGACCGATGACATTTCCCGTATAAATTTACATATAAAATGACAGCGATCTTCATTTCATAGCCATCGCTGACGCCGTTTTTTTTTGATCATACGGTAGTTTTGATAGTCTAATGTTTTTCGTGTTTTGTCCTGGCCGGTTAAAAGATGCCCAAATCGTATTTTTAATCATATCTCAATTTTTTCAAATGGAACCAGGGTGGCTCATTAGCATATTTGGAAAAAAACATTTTTTACGAATAATTTGGCACCACACACTTGATATTTCGAGTTAAATTGTCGTTATGAACGGCATGGAAAATGTCAAATGTTGACATATTATATGTCATTCTATTCATAGTGTCATTTTCTATCGAATAAAGGGGGGGCCTCGGGCTTCTGTTTTTTTAAAAATGAAAATTAATTTTAAAAAACACATTTTTTTGAATAAACCGTTTACATGAATTTTTCTATCAATAAATTTCATAGACTTGGTTATCAAACCGTGTTCCCGTAGATTACTTAAATGCCTACAAATTTTCTAAAAAAATAAAAATTAACACATTTTTGAACACAACAAAATAATATTAACTAAACAAAACTAAAAAACGTAATTTTTACTGCATCACAAGCAATTAAAAATTAGTACGTAGCCAAGAGTCATAATTCAGGATTTCTCTGGGGGGCGCCCAGCAGCACCTGGCATTGGCCATTTTTGAGACGCACCCTGTATAGCATATTTTTTGTTTGTCAATTCTCTCGATTTCATTTTCATTTTTGTCAATTCTTTCAATTAAATCTGTAGGATACTCATTTTGCTATTTGCTATACGTCATTACTTGGACATAATTCTCTCAGCATCTAAGCTTCAATAATACGCTAATGCTTAGACTAATGCTATATTTCGACATTATAATTCTTACTTGCCATTAAGTACATGAAAAAAAATAAAAATACATATGTAATAATTGTAGGAATTGTTATTTGCGCAATTTGGGCCACCCTCTATAAGTCGGTATAATAATTTTGTTCTTTTCTATTCTTTTGAGGTTTGCCGACCAAATTATGGTCTGAAGACATTAAGAGTTTGTTCACGTCACTTCTTTTGCTCCATTTATACAGGGTGTGTGTAAATTAAGATGAAGTGGCAAAAATTCAGGATTTTGGCATATTTAGTATTTTTAAAAGCCTTGAAGAAGTTTGTTTACATTTCCTTGTACCTACATACCTATATATTAAGGCGCGTTCTGACGAATCGATTTTAGTTTGATCAACTTAAGTGATGAGTGAGTCTCTAAAAGAGTCTTGAGCCTTTTCTTCCTTTTTTTGAATTTATAAACTAGGTCTCTTTGAGAAGAATTGACGCTTTTTTTTAATTTTTAATGCACTCGTGCAATAATTCTGAACACAAAGAAACTAGCGTGGAATAGAAAATAACCAAAATTTGACGTCGAATAAATGGTTCGATTGTTTTGATTGCCTATTTTAAACGGGGGCCGCCTATAAAATAAAAAACGAACAAAATCTACCTCAACTTGATTATATTCATCGTTTTTTTTTATCCAGCCAGAACGTCAGTTTTCGAACTTACACTTCAGTTTTGTGTCTTTTTTATTCGAACAAAACCGCAGTCTGTGGGGTAGGTTGGTTTGGTTTAGTCAAAACAAGGAGTAAATTTAATTGTCTAACCATGGGTAGGTAGTAGTAATGGGCATTACGATTCTTTTTAGTGAATCGCATCACACGATTCAATTTCTCATATTGAATCGACGATTGTCGAATACCCATTTGTCTTTTTCAACTTTTTCAACGAATCGCATGCACAATTTACGTTTCATAAAAACAAGAATCCTAACTTGCACTACCAGCAATAATTCGGTCGAAGAATTACTTAAGGGACCAGAAAAAGAAATATACAGTTCTTTCATTTGTTTGTCAACACTTTATGATACTGGTGTAATTGGATTTATTATTTTACCAATAATATTAAATGATTAATCCAATGCATTATAGATCTTCCCCTAGGAGATGCAAGACCTTGTCGTTGGTGGGGAAGCTCCTGGTCAGGTGCTGGGGGAATCCCCCCTAGCACTTGGCTTGGTCTAAGAAGCATCTCACTCATCGTCTTGTCCCTGACTGTAGTGTCGTGGCCAAGGAATTGCACCAAGACATATAACGATACCGGGCGGGGCTACGGACAGCCTCAACCTTGGGGCATCGG